CCTCCCTGTGACTTCCTATTTTTTTTAATTATATCTGAGTTGTGGAAATAGCTGATACCCACAACTGATTTTGACTACCTTTTTACTGTATCAGTAGACTCCATTATTGGCTACTTCACCACTTTTCATATTGATCAAGACTAATGATTAGATTTTAGGGTCCTGCTTATGTCACCCCAATTCTGCCAACATTTTCCAAGCAAACTGAAGTACTCCACCTTATTCACTCCCCCCACTGATTAGTTTTGTTGCATAGGACTGACACACCAATTTTACTCCTGTTGTTCTTTGTGTAAAGCCTGAAATTTGGAAAACTATTGAATACTCTTTAATAAGTATATTGATAAAGTAAACCTTAATAAATATGAAAATTCAGCTAAAGTGGAAAACTAGTCTTAACAAGGGATATGTGTTTTATTTTAGTGGCATTCATTTTCAACTGGATTGGATTTTGCTTATCATTCTGTATAACTAACACCATAGCAGGAAGATATGGCGCCATCTGTGGATTTGGACTGTCCTTGATCAAGTGGATACTTATTGTTCGAGTAAGTATTATTGTTCTTAATTACAGGGTTTGTAAGCTTCAGGGTAAGGGCAATCTTAATTCCCTAGAGCAGTGTTTCTCAACCTGTGGGTCCCCAGATGTTTTGGCCTTCAACTCCCAGAAATCCTAACAGCTGATAAACTGGCTGGGATTTCTGGGAGTTGTAGGCCAAAAACCTGGGGACCCACAGGTTGAGAACCATTGCCCAGGGGTCCTCAAACTAAGGCCCGGGGGCCGGATGCGGCCCTCCAAGGTCATTTTCCCGGCCCTCGCTCAGGCTCAACCTAAGTCTGTAACGACTTGAAAGCACACAACAACAACAACAATCCTATCTCATCAGCCAAAAGCAGGCCCACACTTCCCATTGAAATACTAATAAGTTTATATTTGTTAAAACTGTTCTTCATTTTAATTATTGTATTTTTAAGTGGTTTTTGCACTACAAATAAGATATGTGCAGTGTGCATAGGAATTCATTCATGTTTTTTTCAAATTATAATCCGGCCCTCCAACAGTTTGAGGGACTGTGACCTGGCCCTCTGTTTAAAAAGTTTGAGGACCCCTGCCCTAGAGTCATGTTTTGTTTCAGATTGCATATAGAACTTAAAACTTAAAATAAGCATCCTGTGTCATTATCTAAAATCCTATGGTGGAACGTTAAGTTCTACCAGTGTACTTAAGCTGGAGATCTGAAGAATATAATATAGAAAGGGAATCTGGCCTGCAAAAAGTTCTGTTTGTGGTAAGTGAGAGAAAGTTCACCTTGATGCCTGAAAGCTGGGGTGGGCGGCAAAAATTCAGGGAGAGAAATGATTATATAGAATCATATAAATTATAAAATTATATATAGATTATACAAAATATTTTTTTACTAATGTCAGTGATTTTTTGTTTTTAATTGGGATTTTACCATTCAGTTTGGCAAAAATCTAAGTTCCGAATATTTATTGTTCATAATTCAATTGTTCATGGAAGTTTAAAATCTTCTAGCACCATTTGTTACAGAACACAGAATTAAATACCCCAAAAGGAATCATTTCCTTCTCTGGCAAAAGACGAGATCGTAGCCTATATTGGGCAAACCTAAAGATGCACTGACCCCCATTGCTTTCCTTGCCTCAGTGCTGTTTTTGGCCTTTTAAAAATACCTCAGCAGGAAAATGGTGGTGATGGCTCTTTGGAACATCCCCCCAAAAGAAGCTCCAAAAGAATAGAGTGGGTCGGCCCTTCTTTTAGGTTCTCCAGGGACAGAATCATTGCTTCCCTTTCACCATTCTACTCGGAGAAGGGGATGGTTTCCTTTCTGATAAGGGTTAATTCTCCACCTTAAGTTTTATCCAAAGGAGGAGGGGAGAGAAAGAAAGGAAGACATTCCCTTTCTGAATAGAGAGGTGACAGGTATTTTTACTGGTGGTGACCAGGGCCAGCTAGCCCCCCTGAGATAGTGCTGGTACTTTCCCCTCCCTGCAGAATAACTTATTTATGGGTCATATCAAAATGTTGGCCCCAAAACTTGCCCTCCTGACCTTGAGTTACCCACAAGTATATATGGTAATATCCCATTGTAGTATACTCATCTATAATAATAATAATAATAATAATAATAATAATAATAATAATAATACTTCATTTATACGCCACCCTATCTCCCTGAGGGAACTCAGGGTGGCTCCCAGACAAAACAGAAAGGCACCATTCAATGCAGGGAAGGCAAAGCAGGGCTGACAGTGAGTGGTGGTTGTTTCCTTGCTTGTTTTGCTTTCTCACTTGGTTCTTCCCTCACAACCCAGCACGGAGGACTGGAGCTTTCTGTTATCCACTTACCACCTATAACCCATCATTTCCTGTCGTCTTTGCCAAAACAGGGGAATGAGTGGTTGTTGCTGGTTTGGGTATTTAAATAACTGGGGTATAGAAGATACAGAATGAAGAATAAGCTGTTCCTCAGAGCAAGGGTCCTGGAAAAGGCTAAAGGTAGCAACACATATAACTTGTTTTGAGCAATAGGAACTAAAACCAGAGCTAGATCTCTGAAAGAAATAGCAACTTAGAAAAATGAAACTCGTGGGTTTTTGTAAGACTAAGAAGCCATAATGATAATATGACTTCCTCTTCGTAGGTACTAAGTGAGGCATTTTCATTATTTTAACATTATCCTAAATGTATTTGCAGGTTGCAGCTAGAGTATGCCCATTAATTCAGCAGGATTTACAAAAGTGTTATTTCATGAAAATGTCATGAAAAAAAATCCCATTATTACTATGGTCTATAATGAGTGTTGAATACTGAGGAAAGCTTATTTTTATTTTGGTATTTATTCATTTTTGTAAAGATTTAAAGTAAAACAATGAAAACAATGTTTAAATAATTAAAATTTTCATGGAGTGTTTTAAATTATAAACCTGTGCAAACTAATATGTATCCCAAGCTACCCAACGGTTTGAATTAGAAGCATTTGCTCATGTGTTGTTTCCTTATTGGTTTTTGTAAATGATATAAAGTAAAACAAGGAAAAGAGATGTTTAGATAATTAACATTTTCTATGAAATATAATTATAAACCTGTGCTCGTGCTTTAAATTTAAGAACACTGACCCCTGAGTTGTCTCTTTAAAGTTGACTTATCCAAATACTTTATCCTGGTTGACCCATTATTTTTTGATAGGAAAAATCATTGACAAACTGAAACTAGTTGAGTGTCAATAGAGAAGGAAATGGTGAATCTACTTTTGCTTAAATGCCTTTGTTTTCCCTTTGAACGTTGCAGTGAAGGCTCTGTAGTAGTTGAACTTTGAGCCTGTGCCTCTGGTGAGTTCCCGGAGACACTTGCTTCAGCTCTTTTTATCAGCGAAGCATGTCGTCTGGAGTCTGTTCAGGGCCAGATACCTGTCTCCGAAACCCTCACTCCCTGCCCTCCAGCTGCCTGTTCAGATTCCCACATCACACAGAGGACAAAACTGCCTACCATGCTCACTAACAGGAATGGTTGAATTGGCCCTTCAAGGTTCATTTAGTTGCGTTCAGCTCACTGCTGGGAACTGAATGCAGGAGCATCTAGTTTGAAAATGAAAAGAGTTTAATGAATCGAAGGTCTTTATGGGACTGGTATTCTTGCCAGCGATTATCAGTAGGGGGTGTACAGGAGGTCAAAAGCTCTCCTTTTGTGGGGTCAGCCAAACATCCCCATCTGATAAGATTAAACTAATGTGACTTTTGGTGTTAATATCAAAAGCAGCAGGCTGTTATAATGTATTTGGGATGGCAGACACTGGAAGAGAAAAAAAAAAGGCCAAGAGTACTATTTCTAATGGTGAATGTTAGCTTCTAGTGAGCAGTGTCTGTTTAATATGCTTTCTCATAGATTGGTTTTCAAACTGCATAAAGGAAAATAACTCAGTCTTTCTTTTCTGTTCTAGTGCTTCATAGAATCTTTATTTTTCAACATGCTGTGATCACACTTTCCTTCTATTATTTCTGTAGATAATAAAATACATTTGTTAGGCTGGTATCCTTCATATGTAAAATATCTTACCTGTTGGTTTCAGTTTTCAGATTACTTTACTGGGTATTTCAATGGACAGTACTGGCTTTGGTGGATATTTCTTGTACTTGGTAAGTGACGAAATTTGAATTTTGTAACTAGAATTTGATATACCTATTATTTTTAGATAAATAGGAAAATCCAAAGTTGGTTTAAGAAGTATTTGGCATATTTTTGAATTAGTACCTGTATGTTCCATCAGAATTGAGTTGATTGGCAAGACTAGCAAAACAATCTCAAAGCATATGTCATAGGAAGAATTTTTATGTTACTTCATATGAACACTCTTGACTCTTCAGATGAAATAGTTTGTAGAAGAAACAATTATGAGTAAACAGTGAAGTCCATATAACCAGTCTCTAAGCATTTTAAGCAGTACTTATTTTTTTAAATAAACACATTTCTGTAAAATATATTGCTCCATGTATTGTATTTTGGAAATTTGTTATTTTAATTTTTCTAGTCTAGATTCAGATCTCTGTTATGAACCATACTGCAAATATATTTTCCTCAATGTTGCTACAGTTATTAAATCCCTGCTATTTCTGAATTGCTCTCAATGTGGCTGCAATGTACCATCAATCTAAATATAAACATTCTCAAAGTTAAACCATATACTTTTCCTATTTAAGGAGCCTAGTTATCATAAGCAATTTTGTACCATGACTGCTTAGATTGTATAAATTATTTTGAATGCTAGTGTGTCTGTCACTTTGTATTTGATTCATGGAGGCATCCGTTTTTGCCTTAGAAATGCCCCATGCATTAATCATTATTCACTCAGGCAAGGGAAGGGCTTTATGCTTGCTGAACACAGTGCTTCTGTTCCCGTAGTTGTCTTTTGAAAAGCTGTCTGCTAAGCTTGAGGCTTTGGGGGAAGGGGAAGAAAGCGTCTAATTTGAGCATCCGCTGTGTCTCCATAGCTTGGCTCACTTGCCTGGGTCACATTATGAACTTAACTTGCAGGGAGACCGTTAACCAGCCTTATGCATCTAAAGTTGTTCCTAAGCCACACATCTTATAGCTTATCTTGTCTATAACTTTTTTTAAAAAATTCTGTGTGGCGGCTCCAAAATGAAGATGCCCAAGGCTTGTTCATAAACTCAGTGAAATGATAACATGTGCAGAGATGGAAACAACAAGTCATAGAAAAGTAGCCAATGCATAATCACAGAGAGATAGAAGCAAACACGCTAATGCAGCCAGTATCATAAAACAAAAAGTCAGGCAAAGTTATTAAAATCTTTTTTTAAAGTAAGGCTGTCAACTGACCCATTTCCCCCAGTTTTGATTTATGCTCATTAAATAGTAGCATTCCACTAGAAAACACCAAAAAGGTCAATGGAACCATAGTTACATATTTCTCAAAATATGCAGGTGTCAAAGCTTGTCTGAATTGTATCTGGGAAATGTTATCTTTCACACGAGTTGTCATGCATCTTTATCTTTGGCCAATCTGCTTGGAAATAATTCATTCTTTACAGTTTGTAATGTATGTTGATAAAATTGGCTACATGCCAGGTCTTCCACAGACATGCATGTAAAATGGCAAGTTATTGTTCATTCCTTTTTAATTCTTCATGATGTCCATATTGTTCTGTTCCTGTAGAAGCGTGTCTCTTTACATTCCATGTTCTATCCCTGGTTTTAGGTCTCCTCCTGTTTTTCCGAGGTTTTGTTAATTACCTGAAAGTCAGAAATATGTCCGAAAGCATGGCAGCTGCTCATAGAACAAGGTTTTTCTTCTTGTACTAGAGGTAAGCAATGTTGCTTCCCTTGAAAGTAAGGGTTTTAACTTTATCTGAAGGATAGGCTAATGTTTAAATAATGCAAATGCCTCATTTATTATTTAGAGACAGAGAGAGCCAAGTTATCATTTTGGCTTCCCAATCTTACAAAACACATGGGTTGATGATGCTCCCAGCTTTACAGAAGTCATGGGTTTATACATTATGTTTTTTGATCTTCATGTAGTTGATGGGTGGGCACCTACAGCTTGGCTGAGGCCACGAAGATAGACATATAACAACTTTTTAATAACTAGCAAATGTATGTAGTGTTACACAGGTGTCAGAATGGCCACTGCCCCCTGCTTTCATTCCTTCTTCCTTTCCCTCTCCACATACCTTTTTCCTTTCTCTTCCTTCCTTCACTACTTTTTCTTTCTTCCTCTCCCCTCTCTTCCTTCTGCTTTCCTGTCTTTCCTCCYTCCCTYCTATCTCCCCTTTCTCCCTTCTCCAACTCTGAGAAAGTCTGCCTGTCACAATGGGAATATGTTCCTTTGTGTTTTTTCCTTCCTTCTTTGTTTCCTCTCTCCACCTCCTACACATGCCACCTTTGACTCCTAGTGACATTACAGAGGGCCACTTCATTTAGCAATGCCCTTTGTGGTACAAATAGACATAGTTTGACTATGTATGTGTGTGTGTGTGTGYGYAYRT